TTCTTCAAGGAGCTAGCTGTATAGTAGAAAGTATAGGGATGCCTGGATGGCACAGTCGATTAAGCGTCCAGCTCTTGGTTTTGGCTTAGGTCACAATCTCAGGGTAATGAGATATAGCCCTGTGTCAGGCTCTGTGCTTAGCTAAGAATCTGCTTAGGATTGTCTCTCCCTCTCCTGCCCCACCCCCCATTTGTGCTTTCTCTCTCTCTCAAATGAATAAATATACCTTTAAAAAAAGGAAGTATAAAATACACATATCAATGACTGAAGCACAAGATGGACAGAGCTACATGACTTCAGAGGGCATGTAGAATGGCTCTGAAAGTTCAAAGAAGACACTTTTAGCTAAAGACAGTGTGAGGCCAGGGGCAGTCAGGGAGGCTCCCTGGGACAGATGACAAATAAGAGAGTGATTTAGAGGATTTTCATGTACATTCACTCTGTATCTCCCAGATTCTCCAGGAAAACCCAAAGGAGTGGATTGAAATTACTATTATCATATTACTATTATTATCATATTATAGAGGGGAGACTAAGTTACAGTAAGTTTATTTCTCAAGAGTCACACCACCAGAAAAAGTAATAAAGGCAGGACTAAAACCCCAGTCTTCTGCTCCCAAACCCACTAACTGGTTTGGCCATGTCTCTGAGGATTTGTGGGAAAGGCTCCTTTATACATCATAAGTCCCCTCCCAACACCCTGAATAGCTGATTTTATAGACCATTTCCCAGGCTCTGGGAATTACTTTGGGCTGGTCTTAACCAACCAGCTGGGTTGTGGAGCTTTGTTGATCATATTTTCTATAAGCATGTCTCTGGGGAGTTGTTCAGATTCACAGGGCTCCAGGAGTTTCCTGTTGAGACCATTGTCCTGGAAAGAATCTGGAATGACTCTTAAATGACTTGATCTTTTCTCAGAAATATAAGCATGAGGCATTTCCAGGAGTAGGTCCTGGCTCATTCACAGGTCTTCTATTTTTCTTGATAGACAATGGAATGTTGTGGTTAAGATTAGAGATTCCAAAGTCACATGAATAATGTCACTTTGCCACTTGACAGGCATATGACATTGGACAACTTACCTAATTTCTCAGAGTTTGAGTCTCCAAATGTGTCTAATGCAAATAATAATAATACTTAAATTAAGGGGTGACATATAATAAGTGCTTGATATATGTGAACTGTCATTTTAATTGTGCCTCTTTTCACCCACAAAAGAATATAGATAGGCTCTTCCACTTCCAGTGAAAATATCTTTTAAAACCAAAGGCAAAATTGGGACACCTGGGTGGCTGAGTCAGTAGGGCATCCAACTCTTGGTTTTAGCTCAGGTCATGATCCTGGGGTCATGGGATAGAACTTCAGGTAAGCTCTGCACTCAGTGGGGAGTCTACTTGGGATTCTCTCTCTCCCTCTCCCTCTGCCCCTCCCCAGATACTCTAAATAAATAAATAAAAACAAGGGCAAAATGAAGACTTTTCCAGACATACAAAATTTGAAAGAATTCATCACCCTGCAGATCCACACTAAAAGAAATATTAAAGTAACTCTATCATACAGAACGAAAATAATACCAAATGGAAATAGGGATCTACACAAAGGAATGAGGAGCACTGGAAATGGCTAAGTACATAAAAAAATATGGGTAGGTTCTTCTATTATTTAAATCGATTTAAAATGTAATTATTTTTAAAAAATAAAATAATAAAATAATACTAATGTACTGAGATGTTTATAACATATGTGTAAGGAACATTCCTGACAACAACAGTCTAGTGACATAAAGAGGAAAATGAAAGTATATTATTGTAAGTTTCTTATAATACACATGAATTTGTACATTACTTGAAGGTAAACTGTGATAAGTGAAACCCTAAAGCAGACAGTAAAATAGCAAAACAAAGAATTATAGCTAATAAGCTAATAACAAAGAGATAAAATTAAGTTAGAGCCCATATACTAATTCTAATATAGATTAATCTAAAAGAAAGGAAAAAAAAAAGAACAGATAGAACAAATAGAATTCCAAAGTGATATGATACACACAAACTGAACCATGTCAATAATCACATTAAATGTAAATGATCTAAATATAAAGATATATATATATATCTTTTCCTGTGTTATATCTTTGTCTTTTTACTTTTAACCTACTTGTATCTTTATGTTTCTTATAAGCAGCATATCATTGTGTCTTGCTTTTTTATTTATCTGACAATCTCAGTCTTTTAATTTTGGGTACCTAGCTGTCTCCGTGTATGGAATGTGTGACTCTTGATCTCGGGGTCATGAGTTCAAGTCCCATGTTGGGTGTAAAGCTTACTTAAAAATATAAATAAATAAATAAATAAATAAATAAATAAATAAATAAATAAATAAATAAATAAATAAATGAAAGAAAGTTGGAGTGGCTATATTAATATGAGACAAATTGGATTTCAGAGCCAAGAATATTACCAGGAATAAAGAAAGTCATAATGGTAAATAAAAGAATTAATTGATAAAGAGGTTATGACAATCCTAGTGTTATATACCTAATAACAGAGCTTTAAAATATGTGAGGCAAAAATTAATGTAACTACAAGAAGAAGTAGAAAAAAATGACCATTGTAGTTAGTGATTACAATACTCCTCCCTGAACAAACAGACAAGAAATCAGTAAGGGTATGGAACACTTAAATAACATGATCAGGCAATCTGACATTTAAAGACAACCCTACCCAACCACAGCAGAATATACATTCCTTTCAAGTTCACGTGGAATATTTTCCAAGATAAGCTATATTTAAAACCTATAATAATCTCAATATATTTAAAATGATTCAAGCCATACAAACTAGATTATTTGACCAAAATGGAATTAAATTTGAAATCAGTAACAGAATGATTTCTAGAAAATCATCAAATATTTTGACTAAATAACACATTTCTCTGTAACCAGGATTCAAAAAATAAAATGTTAAATGAATGAAAATAAAAACACAACATAGAGATATTTGTGGGATGCTACTAAAGCAGTACTTAGGAGGAAATTTATAGTACTAATGATAAACCAAAATTAATCTCAAAATAGAATAAAAGAAATACTAAAGGTCAGAGAAGAAATCAAAGAAATATAAACAGAAATATGATGGGGAAAAAAATCAATGAAACCAAAAGTAGTTTCTTTGAGGAGGCAATAAAATTGACAAATTTCAATATAGACTGATTAAGACAAAAAGAGTAAAAATATAAATTACCAAATTCAGGAATAAGAGAGGTGACATTACCAGAGATTTTACAAATTAAAAGCATAATAAGAGAATATTGTGAACAATGTTATGCCAATGTTTGACAGCATAGACAAAATAGATGCCTGAAAAGCACAAACTACCAAAGTTTACTAAAGATGAAATAGATAATCTGGATAGCCCTATATCTATTAACAAAATTGAATTTGTATTTAAAAATCTTCTCACAAAGGAGAAGGAGGGGGGCAGGCCTCGATCACCTTACTGGTAAATTCCACTAAAGACTTAATGAAGAAATAATATCAATTCCACATAAACTCTTCCAGAAAATTGAAGAAAAGGGAATACTCTTCAACTCACTGTGAGGCCATGTTTTGCTGATGTTGCAAGAAAACCAGACAAAGACATTACAAGAAATCTTCAGAGTAATATCCCTCATAACCATAGATAGAAAAAATTTTAATAGAATTTTAGCTAATGAATCAAAAAATATGAAAAAAGAATAATGTATCATGACCCAGTGGGGTTTCTCTCAGGAATGCAAAACAGACTTTCTGGAAAAGCCAAGAAAATAAACCAATGAAATTTACCATATTAATAAATGAAAAATGAAAAATCATATGACCATCTCAATAAATGAAAAGTAAAAACAAGTGATAAGGTCCAACTGCCATTCCTGATAGAAATTCACAGCACACTACCAATAGAAGAAACCTTCCTCAGCCTGATAAAGGGGCAATTAAAAAAAACCCTACAGTTAACATCTTATTTTATGGTGAAAGACTGGGTATTTCCTCCCTATGATCAAGAGCAAGACATTTATGTTCACACTTCTACTCAGTATTATACTTTTGGTTCCAGCCAGTGTAACAAAGCAAGGAAAAGAAATAAAAGGCATCCAGATTAGAAAAGAAGTAAAACTCTCTATTCTCTTGATGATACAATCATCTGTGTAGGAAATCTGATGGAATCTTAATTTTAAAAAGCTACTAGAATTAAAATGTCAATTCAGCAAGGTTGCAGGACATAAGATCAATATACAAAATGAATTTTATTCTTATATATTAGCAATAAGCAGTCAGAATAATCATAATCAGATTAATCAGAATAAGCAATCATAAAGTCATTTACAATAAAATAAAAATTTATGAAATACTTAGAGACATAAATATGAGAATAGGTAGATAAGAACTATTCACTGAAAACAATAAATCACTATTGTGAAAAATCGAAGAACTATATAAATGAGAAGATATACTGTGTTCATAGATCAGAACACTCAATATTCTTTTTTTAAATTTTTTATTGTTATGTTAATCACCATATATTACATCATTAGTTTTTGATGTAGTGTTCCATGATTCATTGTTTGTGCATAACACCCAGTACTCCATGCAGAACGTGCCCTCTTTAATACCCATCACCAGGCTAACCCATCCTCCCACCCTCTCCCCTCTAGAACTCTCTGTTTTTCAGAGTCCATCATCTCTCATGGTTCATCTCCCCCTCCGATCTCCCCCTCTTCATTCTTCCCCGTCTGCTATCTTTTTTTTTTTTCTTAACATGTATTGCATTATTTGTTTCAGAGGTACAGATCTGTGATTCAACAGTCTTGCACAATTCACAGCATTCACCATAGCACATACCCTCCCCAGTGTCTATCACCCAGTCACCCAATCCCTCCCACCCCACCCCCCACTCCAGCAACCCTCAGTTTGTTTCCTGAGATTAAGAATTCCTCATATCAGTGAGGTCATATGATACATGTCTTTCTCTGGTTGACTTATTTCGCTCAGCGTAATACCCTCCAGTTCCAACCACATCGTCGCAAATGGCAAGATATCATTCCTTTTGATGGCTGCATAATATTCCATTGTATATATATACCACTTCTTCTTTATCCATTCACCTGTCAATGGACATCTTGGCTCTTTCCACAGTTTGGCTATTGTGGACATTGCTGCTATAAACATTGGGGTGCACGTACCCCTTTGGATCACTACATTTGTATCTTTGGGGTAAATACTCAGTAGTGCAATTGCTGGGTCATATGGTAGCTCTATTTTCAACTTTTTGAGGAACCTCCATACTTTTTTCCAGAGTGGTTGCACCAACTTGCATTCCCACAAAGAGTGTAGGAGGGTTCCCCTTTCTCTGCATCCCCACCAACATCTGTCATTTCCTGACTTGTTAATTTTAGCCATTCTGACTGGTGTGAGGTGGTATCTCATTGAGGTTTTAATTTGGATTTCCCTGATGCTGAGTGATGTTGAGCACTTTTTCATGTGTCTGTTGGCCATTTGGATGTCTTCTTTGGAAAAATGTCTGTTCATGTCTTCTGCCCATTTCTTGATTGGATTCTTTGTTCTTTGGGTGTTGAGTTTGATAAGTTCTTTATAGATTTTGGATACTAGCCCTTTATCTGATATGTTATTTGCAAATATCTTCTCCCATTCTGTCGGTTGTCTTTTGGTTTTGTTGACTGTTTCCTTTGCTGTGCAAAAGCTTTTTATCTTGAGGAAGTCCCAATAGTTCATTTTTGCCCTTGCTTCCCTTGCCTTTGGCGATGTTTCTAGGAAGAATTTGCTGCGGCTGTAGAACACTCAATATTCTTAAGATATCAATTCTCCTCAAATTCATTTATAGATACAACACAATCCCAGTCAAAATCCCAGCAAGGTTTCTGGTAGAAATTGACAAGCTCTTTATAAAACAACTTTGAAAAATAACAAGGTTAGAGAGTTAATACTACATGATTTCAAGTCTTTTTCTAAAGCTACAGTAATTAAGACAATGTGGTATTGGCATGAAGATCAACAAATAGAGGAATGGAACAGAATTGAGAGCAGAAATAGATGCACACATACAGGACAACTGACAAAGATGCAAAGATAAATCAGTGGAGAAAGAATAGTCCTTTTAACAAAACATGCCAGAACAATTGGATATCTAAATGTAAAAAAAATTTAACTTCAATCCATGTCTCATGCCATATAACAATCAGTTGAATGTGGGTCATAGACCTAAAAACTCTAGGAGAAAACACAGGGGAAAAATCATTGTGACTGATGGGCTGAATGTTTGTGCCCCACCCCCAAATTCACATTGAAGCCCTAACCCTTAATGTGATGGTACTTGGAGAGGCGGCCTTTGGGAGGTAATTAGGATTGGATGAGATCATGAGGGTAGGACCCTCATAATGGGATCAGTGCCCTTATAAGAAAAGACACCAGAAATCTTGCTTCCCTTCTCTTTCCCCCCACGTAAGGACATAGCAAGAAAGTAGTAACAAGCCATAGCAAGCCAGGAGGAGGGCCCTCACCAGGAACCAAATCTGCTGCCACCTTGATTTTGGACTTACCAGCTTCTGGAATTATGAAAAATAAATGTGTATTATTTAAGCCACCCAGTATATGGGCTTTAGTGTGCCAGCACTTAGGTTAAGCAAAGATTTCCTTGATATGATACCAAAAGCATGATCCAGAGGGAAAAAGATTTATAAATTATACTTTATCAAAATTAAAAGCTTTTTTCAGCAAGACATTAAGATATTGAAAAGACAAGGCACAGACTAGGGGAAAATATTTACAAATCATGTATCTGATAATGGACTTATGTATATAATGGGCTCAGTACATATAAAGAACTCAATAATCAGAAAACAAATATGATTGAAAAAAACAGGCAAAAGTTTTGAACAGACACCTTACCAAAGTAAATAGGTATATAGATAACAAACAAATAAAGATGCTCAAAATCATTATTATGGAAATGCAAATTAAAACCCAGTGAGATACCTCTAAAAATATATGAAAATGGTTAAAATTAAAAAGGCCGACCTTACCAAGTTGTGGCAAGTATGTGGCACAATTAGAATGTTCACTTTGGAAAACTGTCAAGGTCTTAAAACATTAGACTTATACCTTCCATATGACCCAGCCATTCCACTCCTAGAAATGTACCCAAGAGAAATGAAAGCATGTTTCTAAACAAACACATGTATGTGAATGCTCACAGCATTTTTATTTTTAATAGCTAAAACCTGGAAACAAACCATATGTCCATTAATGAATGAATGGATAAACAAATTATGGCTTATCAACTAATGATACATGCAATATGGGTGAATCTCAAAATTACACTGAGTGAAAGAAGCCAGGCAAGTATGAGTACATCATGTACAATTTCATTTGCATAAAATTGTGGAAAATGCAAACTCCTATGTACTGACAGAAAGCAGCTCAGTTTTTCCTTAGGGAGCAGGGGCAAAGTGGAGGGGCAAGGAGAGATTACAAAGGGACACAAGGAACTTTTGGGGGTGATGGAAATGTTTTCCATGGTTTCAGAGGCGCATACATATGTCAAAGCCTATCAGACTGTACACATTAAATTTGTGTAGTTTATTGGATGTCAATTATACCTCAATAAAGCTGTCTTAAAAATAAAATAACCTGGGGCACCTGGGTGGCTCAGTCGGTTAAGTGTCTGACTCATGATTCTGGCTCAGGTCATAATCTCAGGGTGGTGAGACTGAGCCCTGCTTCAGGCTCTGTGCTCAGCATAGAGTCCACTTGGGATTCTATCCCTCTCCCTCTACCCCTCTCTCACCTCTCTCTCTCTCTTAAAAAAAAAAAAGCTACTGAGAAAATAGGAGTATGAACATGTGAAAGACAATTATTTATTGAACAATGAATAAAAAATCATAGACTCTAAAAAAATCATAATTTCTAAGGTTGGAAGAGTGCTTGGAGATCATTCTAGATGAATCCCATCCAGATGAGGTGAATCTCATCTGCTTTTGCAGATGAGAACCAATACTGAAACTCAGAAGGAGAGAGAAACATATCCAAAGTTGCACAGATAACTGGTATTCGGTGATAATGCTCTTCTCATTAAGCCATCTTGTGGTAGAGAAATTGCAAGGAGCAAGAGACTTTACAAGTGTTTTATTATGAAAATTGTCATGAATACCCCAAATTAAAGAGAACCACATAAAGAATGGAAATAGAGACTTTAAAGGTAAGTCCTTACCTCTACTATTGCCTTACTATTTGCCACCCTAATTTTCTGTTTCCTCATCTCTAAAATGGGGCTAACAATAACTAACTTGTGAAGATCAAATAAGAGAATGCATGTAATGCCCGGCACATAGCGCAAGCTCAACAAATGGTCAGTATCCTTTCCTTACTTGTTGTGTAGAATCCCTCTACCACTGGTTTTCCCACTTCACATTTTGCTGTTTCTGTAGCTCTTGCTCTTCCTTCAGCCTGTTGAAATCCTGCTCATTTTTTAGTCCATCTTGAAGACCACTTTCTACATATACCTTTCATGATCCTTCTACCCCTATTTTCCATGGATACTAGTAATTATTACTATAGGTTGTGTCCCCATAAAGGGACAGTCGTTTTGCAGGTGGTTTAAAGATATTACCAAAGAGGGGCCCCTGGGTGGCTCAGTCATTAGGCATCTGCCTTCGGCTCAGGTCATGATCCCGGGGTCCTGGGATCGAGCCCCACATCCGGCTCCCTGCTCTGCGGGAAGCCTTCTTCTCCCTCTCCCACTCGCCCTGCTTATGTTCCCTCTCTCGCTGTGTTTCTCTCTGTCAAATAAATTTAAAAAAAACTTAAAAAAAATAAAAAAATAAAAAGATATTACCAAGGAGCTTTTTATCACTGATCCTATAAATACCCAGGTATATGAACATTTTTATTTGAATACACAATTTTCTCTGGAGGTTAATAGCCTTCCTTATATTCTCAAAGGTATTCATATTTGAAAGGACTTTAAGAATAACTATGTCCTTGACGGGCGCCTGGGTGGTTCAGTTGGTTTAAGCGTCAACTCTGGATTTCGCCTCCGGTCATGATCTCAGGGTCATGAGATCGAATCCCGAGTGGGGCCCCACACTCAGCAGAGAGTCTGCTGAATATTCTCTCTCTTTCTCTCCCTCTGCCCTGACCCTTGCATGACACACTCTCTCTCTCTCCCCTCTCTCTCAAATAAATAAATAAATCTTGAAGAAGAAGAAGAAGAAGAAGAAGAAGGAGGAGGAGGAGGAAGAGGAGGAGGAGGAGAAGGAGAAGAAGAACTATGTCTTCGAAACAGTATGTAAGGAAAGTGTTATCATTATTTCCACTTATGGGGACAAAATCCAAAACAACTCAGGCCCAAAGAGCTATCATGGCTTACCCAAATACTCCTACTGTGCTAACAATACATGTGTTAGGTGCTCAACACTCCGGGTCTACTGGCTTGTCTTCAGAAGAGTCACCCTTTTTCTCGGTCAGATATGGTGAAGACAAAAGAAGGTCCACACAGCTTTGTGCCCCTTCCATGTGGGCTGGGGCTGAAAATATTTTGAGGCCCAACGTTTTAAAATAATTGCCTGAGAGAGAGCCAGTTTTCCTGAGATTTTGTTTTGTTTTGTTTTTTGGGGGTTTTTTTGTGTGTGTGTGTGAAGAAGTGTTTTTGTCTTTAAAAGTCCTGCTTTTAAGAAAGCTGTTGTCATTCAGGTCTGCTGTGTTGTGACAACTGAAGTGTTTAAATTTGCCCTGTGGTTTGGCCGGTGAATGCAGCCAGCTGCAAGGCCCATGTGCTCCGCATGAGCCTGAGCTTTGGCCAAGCTGCGCTCTGGGCTGGGTCTAGCTGGGAGGTCTTTCCAGCTCTTTTCCAAACTGCTTTCATTTCATTACATTTTCCTGAGCCTGGGAGTGGCAGGAGAATTGGGGGGCCTGGCTACTTAGGTATTGTTAGCTCCTGGTTTATCTTCTATGTCCCATATGCTCACCAAACACACATTTTCTAAAACACTGTCTGATCATGTCAGTCTTCATGAGGAAATCCTTTTTGTCTTCCTGATGCGTAAAGATTCAGTGTCAGTCCTCAACCCTTTCAAGATCCTGGATCAGTGGTGACTTTACCACAGCTGGCCTGGCAGGCAGGGCTCGTGATCCTGTGGGCCCTGGCAACCTTCCTCCCCTCTTCCCTGTCCCAGTAAGTGGCCCCAGCACCCCCTGAAGTCAGCATTCTGGGACTTATCTTTGCTTTCTCCCCTCCCTCATTCCTCACTCTCAATTTAGGGCAAGATTCAGGCTCTTCTTGTTATAAAACACAGTTTGCCTTTGTCCACTTGGCTCCGTGCTGATCCATCCAAGCATGCTCTCTCCTAATCAGGGCTGCTTTATGACTTTTGTGTGTTCTAGGTACTTTTGCCTTTATGAGCTCCTTCATCCATCTAAAAAATAAATAAAAATTACATTTTAGCACTGCATTGGTATAAAGGCAAATATAAGCCAGGCTAAGTTTATTATTGTATATTTGTAGGTTTTTTTTTTTTTTTTTTTTAATTAAAACATTTTCATGGGCCCCAGGCTCTGGCCCACACTGCCAAATGGATGAATGAGTCCTGGTCCTAACTACCAGGACAGCCTACTACCTGGTCTCTCTGCCTCCCCTCCTCCAAATTCATTTTCCTCACAATACCCAGAGGGATTTTTTTATCACTATAAATTGGATCATGCCACTCCCCTGCCTAAGCACCCCTGACCAGGCACTAAAGTCTTTGTATTATTTTTTTTTAAAGATTTTTATTTATTTATTTGAGTGAGAGAGAGCACGAGTGGTGGGGGAGGGCAGAGGAAGAAGCAAACTCCCGTTGAGCAGTGAGTCCAGTGCCCAGTGTGGGGCTCCACTGGGATCATGACCTGAGCCAAAGGCAGATGCTTAACCAGTTGAGCCACCCAGGCACCCCTAAAGGCTCTGCATTATTATAAATAGGAACAAAGCCTCCCTTGAACACTTCCTTCACACAAGTAACTGGTTATGTTTGATCTATCTCCTTCCACACTTACTTCTATGACATATGGAAAATACATACAAAATGTCTATGATATGTACAAAATATGTATTATTTGGTGAACCTGTTGTTTTTTCACTCAAAAGATGGTATCCTAACATACGTATCATTTTTCAACCTTCCCTTTTCACTCAGTGATAAGTCTCAGAGATAAATCCCTGTTGCTATACATAGATTTTTCCCATTTTCTCTTACTGGGGCTCCACATTCCATAGAATGACTACATTACATTTAGTCACTATTTGACTGAGGCCCACTTTTCACCTTGACAACCAATGCTACAAGGAACAGGCTTGCCCATGTGAGCGTTTCTCTAAAACAGATATCTTGAAGTAAGATTCTCAATTTGTAAGATTTGCACATTTTTATTTTACTAATAGCCCCGGCTTGCCCTCCCAGTGGCCAGGCTCCTGTCCATTTCTATAAGCATTGTGTCAGTGGACCCATTTCCCACTTTCACCAACACTAACTGTCTCCAACATCCTCCATTCTTTCTGAAAGGGCCTGCACATGATAAGCTCTCAGAGCCTGAGTGTGTCTTTATTTCAGCTGAGTGACATAATCCTCTGGCTAGTGTAGAATGACAGGCTTAAAAGTATTTTTCGTTTGCACATTAAGATATTTTTTATTTCCCTCTTGTTTCCAGGTGGTTGGCAGAAAATCTGGATATTAATCTAGTTTTCGTTCCTTCTCTGGTAATTTTTAAAATTTTAACTTTATCCTTGATATGCTGAAATTTCACTACATGGAATCTATATATAATTTTATGCATATATCCCATGTGAGGACTGGAAGATCTTTTCGGACTGAGAATTTATGGTTTTCTCGATTCTGGGAAAACTGAGACCAGTATTTCTTCAAAATTTCTTCCTTTCCCTCTCTTTATTCTATTTTTAATGAAAATTCTACTAGATGCATGTAGGATCTTCTGAATCTACACTCCCTTTATTCTTTCATACTTCTGATCTCTTCATCTGGGGAAATTCCTCAGCTTGATTTTTCAGATCATTAATTAATTCATTTGTGACCATTCAGCTATCATACTAATGATTGCATTTTAATTTCAATAATTATACTTAACATAATTACATTTAGTAAATGCAAAAGTATTGTTTTAATTTCACTAATTATCCAATGGCTTCTTTTTGTATTTCAATTTGTTTTTATTTCAGATCTTTCTCTTCTTCTTGTTTCATAGATGATACACCCTCTTTTAGCTCCCTGGAGATAGGTTATTTTAAAATCCTGTTCTTATGTTTCTGTTAACTCTATTTCCTTACATGAAATTCTCTTATTGAATTTATTATCCCTTTTCCAGATACAATCTTAAAAAAAAAAATATTTGTTGATCCTTGTTTGGCAACCTTTCTGTGGTGGCGGTTTCTATTTCTTTCCAAGCGACTTCATGCTACAGTCTTGTCAGCTTCCAGCTTCCCCATGGGATCTTGATGGCTTCCCACATGGTCAGGATGGGTTCCCACAGGATGCATTCTCTGTCAGGATGATTTCCTCAGCTCACTGCTACAACCTCTCATCTACAGACCTCCTTGTACAGGCCTTCCTATTTTCTCATCTACAGATAATTCCTTGTCTTGATTTTCAGTGCAGTTGTTCCTTTATTTATCTCATTTCTAGTCTTTCTTATTATTTTTTATGGATTGGGTCCAGAAATGGGGAATTTCCATGTGTCTTGAAGTCCAGGAAATATAGTCCATCATTTTGAATCACCAACCCTTTATTAGCTAACTTGCACCCATTCTGTTTAGCTGCCATAACACCATGACTTTGCTGACCACTTTGTATAAATTAGCCCTTCTATTGGTCTCTCCCAAAGAATTCTGTCCTCTTCCTACATAGTACTCATCACAATTTGTAATTATAAATTCAGTTGTGTGTTTACCTAGCTTGATGCCTTTTTAAAGATTATTTGAACATCTATATATTCAAAAAGCACTATTGATCCCAAGGTACAGAGAATATTATTCAGGCCTTGAATTATTATAGTGAAAGAGGGACATAAGTAGTAATCTGACACATGCAATAATTTAAAACACGTGTAAGGAACAAAGGTAATATTTACTTCTCTGTTGGGTGATCAGAGAAGATTTTCCAGGAAAATGACATTTAAGCAAGATTTCAAAGGATAAATTAGAGGAAGTTCTACAAGCAAATGAGAAAGGGAATAGCACTAGAGACCAAGAGAACCAACTATGTAAGTGCATGCAGGAATGAAAGAGCATGATGAAATCTGGAATAAACAACTAGTTTGGTACCAGTTCTAAACATTAAAGTGTGTGTGCCTAAGCGTGGGGAAGAATACAGAAGTGAAAGAGCAATCCCATTTAAGAGTATCGTGTCGGGATAGGCCAGATTATCTACAGAAACAAACAGTGCCAAAGCTCAGTGCCTTCATACAACAGTTTTTTTCTCACCCATGCCAAGTGTGCTGTGGGCCCAGCTGACTTTCCAAGGCAGCTGCCCTCCACTTGTTGGCTTAATACTGCATGCTACTTCAATCTCATGGCACCTCATGTCAACATGAGGCTTCAGGGTTCAAATGCTATTTTAAGACATTTTTATTTTACTCTTTAAGCAAAGGAGGGCCTTTAGGAAAAGGTTTGACAAAGGGAGAGAATGAATAAGACTTATATTTTTGTAAGAATGGTACTATAGACAGAAAAACCAATTAGGAGGTTGTTGATATAATCTTCCAGTAATACAGGGGCAGTGGGGAATGGAAGCTGTGCATGATGTTGGATTTGAAAGATACTTACACGTAAACAATGGAACTTACTGATTGATGGCATATGAGGAGAAAGGAAAAATATAAATCAAGGATGACACTCAAATATCTGGCTTGAGTTTCTGAGCTGTTGGTGGTTCATGGACGTAGTTGGTGCAGGAAAATGAGCAAGTTGGGAATGGAAAGATAGCAACCTCTGTCCAAAGGACACTTCAAATGGAGGTGGGAATAGACAGACGTTTGACTGGTGAGTGAGGAACTGTGAGGAGACATGTAGGATAAAGAAATAGATTTGTAAGTAATCAGTATACAACACCATTTAAACTGTGGTGGTAGAATGCATGAGAAATATTCAGGAAGAATGGTTAACACTGAGCTTCTGAACTTCACAGCCTCAGAAAGACCACCAGGCCCCAGAAATTATATACTAAGTTTTAAGAATATGTGCATATTTAAATTTTTCTCTGAAGAAAGCCCATCCACAAAGGTTTATTACGGTCCTACTATGTGCAAGTCAAAGGCACTGGCCTGGTCCTGGAAATAGAGCACTAAACAAAAAATAAAAAAAACATTTGTCCACTTTGAGATTGTGTTATTCTAATGGGATGGGAAGTGAGCAACAAACAAATAAATAATTAAAAATAAATGGTATCTTAGCTGCTGGTTAGTGCCATGAAAAAAAAAAAAAAAACTGAAACCGGATATAGGGATTGTGAGTGTGGGTAAGAATAGAAGTAGTAGAATAGAGTGGTCAGGAAGGACCTCACTGAGAAAGTGACACTTTTAGAAAGAGTTGAAGGAGCTGAAGGAGTGGACTGTGTGGCTTTATTGGGGGTATTCCAGATAAAGGATCTAGCTTCCATTAGATTCTCAATGATTCACTAGAAAGATAAAGAATGATTCCTCTGAAGCAAGAAGAGAGCTGAGAAAGCAGGTAGAGAAAGAATAGTCTGCAAAGGAGTGCTGATGATTGGTTGTGGGGTTCAGAAAAGATGTAAATGCAAGAGGATCTGATAGACTTAAAATGGGATGGTGTCAAAGGACTGGATGTCTGGATGAGATTGAAGTCTAGGGTTATTGGAGTCTATAGGGTTATTGAAGGAGTAAAAGACCTAAAAAGATAGGAGATGGTGGTTAGAGAATGGGTGTTATGAGATGCAGCTTTCAGAGGTGGATGTGGCTATGGGTATCATAGATGGCTAGGGTAAAGTGGAAGAAGTCATCACTGAAGATGAGGAGCTCAAAGGATGAGAGCCTAGTGTCCCTCAGGACATCAGGAGGAACTGGAAAGGAAAGGTAAGCAATGGAGCCACATGCCTAAGTTCTTAAAGAAAGGAATATAGGATAGGACCAAGAGGTTGGAAGGTGGCAGTAACAGGGATGAGTAGAGTTTGCCAGAGTGATAGAAGGGTAGGGGAATTTGGAAAGAGGGTGGAAAAGTAATAGTCATGAAATAGCAGTAGGAAGTTAGGGAAGTAAGGACCCTGACTCCTCCATGATCTGAGTCCACCCCCTCACCCCACGGTCTTACCCCAACTGTCCATTTGCTTCTTATAGCCTAACCAATGCTGTCCTGTGGTTGGTTCTGCTTGGTCCATGTGGCCTTAGCATCTGGGGAACCTCTGGGAGAGGGGAGACATAATATGAGTGAATAGCAACTATAGTTGATATAAAATGGATTTAGGTGAGCAAAGGTAAGGGAGGTATGGAAGGTGCATTAGTTTCCTAGGACTGCCATAACAAAATACCACAGACTGGGTCACCTACACAGCTGAAATTTATTTTCGCACAGTCCTGGAGCCTAGAAGTCTAAGATCAAAGTGTTGGCAGGTTTGGGTTCTTTTGAGACCTCTCTCCTTGGCTCGTAGATGGCTATATTATTGTGTCCTCATGTGGTTGTCCCTCTGTCTGTGTCATCTGTGTCCTAATCTCCTCTTCTTATAGGGACTCCAGTCATATTGGATTAAGGCCCACCTAAACAGCACCTTTTTAAATTTAATTACCTTTTGAAGGCCCTTGTAATCATATTCTGAGATATTAGGGATTAGGACATCAACATATGAATTTGGGAAGGACACAATTCAACCCAAACAGATGGTATATGTCTCAAGTACTTAAGAACCCCAGGATCATTCCTTACACATCACACCTCCTCCTGCAAGATTACCTTGAGGAGAAATAACCAAACAGAAAACCAGGTACCCTGTGTTATCAGCTAGGCTAGTACCTGGTTCCACAGACTGGGGCTCTCCTGTAAAGCTGGGCTCGATGACAGGGCTCCCTTTGGTCAGAAGTTTAAAAAAAGCATGCCCACCTTCTGTCAGAGCTTAAATCCTAATATCCTCCCCCTATCACCCTTTGGCCAGATACATGGAGAAAGAAGAGCAAAGAGAGAGCCAGAAGACCCAAAGAAGGCTAGTTCCCAGTTGTTTTTTTGACTGAATGAAATAAGGCAGAAAGCAAGAGAAGCTGATGTGTATGGCCAATTGATTCACTTCCAATGCTCACTAATAAACTTAGACCCTGTCCTAAAGAATAAGGAAGAAGGTGGGAATCAGGGTAGGTTGAGACGTGGGAAAAGGGGAGAGGAATCCTCTCTTATCCAGAGACCGAAGTAGATTCTAGAAGTGATAAGCCTACTGGCAGCTGAGGAAGAATGAAGATTTTGATCTTCAAGAGAGGTCAAAATACCTCAGCATACCTCTTTGTTCAACGAAATTGTGTGGTGGAGAGCCAGCTGTGTTGGCCAGCCAAAGGTCATTTGGGGCTTTCAGAAAAACCAGCCAGTTTCTTTTCAAAGTACTCAGTCTCAAATAGAGTGGCCTACAACCTAACAGAAAAGAACATGGGAGTAGGGAACTCTGATTCATGGTCTCAGCCCACCATCTAGTTTCAATGTGACCCTGGGCAATACATTTCTCTTCTCTAGGACTCAATTACCTCATCTCAATATTATTATGAATCATATATGTAAAATATAGATAATAATGCATGGCCTTTGTTGATTGTTTTCAGGATGAAACATTCTTCTTGGAAACAAGGCTTCACAGGAAGCTGGGGCAGAATGTGACCTCCATCCCCAGCATCCCGACTCATAGGCTATTCCACGGCGCTGGGCTATTTCTACCGTGTCCACCACAAGGCTTCCAATATTTAGTCACTTGCCTTTATAATTTTTTTGTATGCATGAATACCATCTATATTATTATTATTATTTGTTTCATATTTGTGTTTATTTTTTAAATTTTATTTTATTATGTTATTTTAGTCACCATACATCACATCATTAGTTTTTGATGTAGTGTTGCATTATTCATTGCTTGCGTATAACACCCGGTGTTCCATGCAATACATGCGCTCCTTAATACCTATCAGCGGGTATAATGTGATATCAGATAGCCCATCCCCCACCCCCCTCCCCTCTAAAACCCTCAGTTTGTTTCTCAGAGTGCATAGTCTCTCATGGTTCATCTCCCCCTCCAATTTCCTCCCCTTCATTTTTCCCTCCTACTCTCTTCTTTTTTTTTTTTCTTTAACATATAATGTATTATTTGTTTCAGAGGTACAAGTCTGATCTACTCTGGATTTGTTTCTTGTTTTTTTGACTGAAATCCATATATTTGAAAGTATGCTGCTACTCTAAACATAAAAATAAATATAATGAATAAAAATTGTTAAATCCTAGCAGAATAATATTGTCTCTGCAAGACTGAATTTGAGACCTGCCTTTCCTTGTTAAAAGGGAAATGAATATCAACGGCATATTGGCATCACCTTGAGATTTTCTTCTCAATAATATCCGGAATGAAAGAGAAATGAAAAAGGCAGGACTTTCTTGGCATATGGTGGTGACAGATATTGAAGGTTGACTCATGCAATTTCCATTTCTAATCCCTGTCTTCCTTGCTGTCTGGCTCTGCTCTATAAGCTGTAAAAGTAAGAACCAAACTTACCAGTCTCCTTTGCAGTTAGTGGTGGCCACGTGACTTAGCTCTGGTCTGTGAGACGTAAAAAGAAGTCTCCCAGTCCCCTTTTCCTCTTTCTCCTTTTTTTCTGTTTTGAATGTGGACATGACATCTGGAGTTACAGCAGCCTTTTTGTGACCATGAGGTGGCAGGCATGAGGATGAAAGCCCATATCCTAAGGCTGGCAGAGCAGAAAGAAAGAAAACAATGTCAATCAGCTGCCCCAGACCTATGTACCTCCTCACTTCTTGCTATGTGAGGAAAATAAATTCTATTTGTGCATTAGTCAAGGTTTCTCTAATTATGCACCAAACAGAATATTAACTGACCCAGTGTTTTTTAATTCCATGTATGTGGCACCTGAAATCAGCCTGATGCCCCTGGTGGCATGTGGTTCATGCTTTTCGAGAACCTTGTATAAGAGAGCTTATTAGTCTGTGAGGACTGCCATGGCGAAGTTCCACAGACTGGGTAGCTTAAACAGCAGAAATGTATTTTCTTATAGTTTTGGAGACTAGCACTTCAAAATCAAGGTGTTGGCAGGTGTTTTAAAGTTCAAGATCAGGGGGCCTGGGTGGCTCAGTCGTTAGGCATCTGCCTTCGGCTCAGGTCATGATCCCAGGGTCCTGGGATCGAGCCCCACGTCAGACTCCCTGCTCCGCGGGAAGCCTGCTTCTCCCTCTCCCGCTCCCCCTGCTTGTGTTCCCTCTCTCGCAGTCTCTCTCTCTGTCAAATAATAAATAAATAAAACCTTGAAAAATAAATAAATAAAGTTCAAGGTCAAGGTATTCTTTTGAGGCATCTCTCCTTGGCTTGCAGATAGCCACTATCTCACTGTGTCCTCCCATGGTCTTTTCCTCTGTGTTGTCTGTGTCCTAATCTCTTATTATAAGGACACCAATTACATCAAATCAGGGTCCACCCTAATGGCCCCATTTTAGCTTAATCACCTCTCAAAGACCCGATCTCCAAATCGTCACATTCTGAGGTACTGGGGGTTAGGGCTTCAACATATGAACTTTGGAAGGACACAATTCAGCCCATAACAGAACCAAATAGTTTATTTTTTTAGTAGAAATTATTTTTTCCTTCCCTGCAATCTTTTAGACACAAGATAGCATGGCTCATGGATGTTCAAAGTCCACAGGCAGGGTCAGGAGCCTGCAGATGAGGGGAAAGAGTCCTGGATCGGGGGTCAGGAGGCCTAGGCTCTACACATCAATTGTCCTCTTGCTGGCATAGTCTCTCTGAACCTCCGTGTCTTCATCTGTAAAAATATATGAATATTACATGTAATAATGTATATGGAAGTATCTGACACATGCTAAGGATATTTCATCAAACCTAAAATGCCGCCAATTATAAAATGCACCATTATGTTCTGTGCGCCCAAATTGGCAAAATCGTGCCATGAGAGCTTTTAAAATTAGAGATTCAGGAGCCCCACCCCAAATTTGCTGAATTTGAATTTTCTGGGATGAAGTTTAGGGATTGGTATTTTTTAAATCCCCTGTACTATTCTGATAATGTGATATCCAGGCTCCAAATCAATGGCTCTCAGCATAGTCAATGTGTTGTAGAACACAAAATTTAATTCTAAGGTGCCATCTTTGGGGCTATTTATCAGTTTCTTAGATATTCTATAGGAAGCCTGGATTTCTGGCTTTGCCAACAAAATCCCATGCCCAGATACTTTACATTTCCTAACACATTCATGGGATTCCAGAAAGTCTCAGCTCAGGAGTTGCATATAATAAATACTTCGGTAGAACATGTAAACCAAGCCCGGTTCTAGTGGTAGGAATTCTGTAACATGCACTCTCTTAGTACTATGTTCCTGACCCTGTCCCTGACTATAACCTGGGGGTGTTGGGTCCACATCTGTCGTTCTACATTTTATGATTCTAAGTGACATATTGTTAGTTCATTGTGTGCTTATTTTAACTTTTCTGTCAAACTTCTAAAAAACTAGTTGAATCTTCTTTATAGTTATTTTCCTGAATACCTATGATGGAATCCTGAGCCACATCATGCAGCTATGATAAAGCAAGTATCAAGATGAGAGGGATGCTCTGGGCTCCACTCTTTTCACAGGTCATGAGAGTAACCCCCATGACTGTCTTCACTGCAATATCATTCCCCAGTTCTCGCACCAACATTTATATGTGCTCCCTCAACGGGGTCCAATCCCCTCATTGTACAGCAGAGCAGGTGGATGCCCCTCCTCCCCCTCCCTCCAACCAAGAAAGTAGATGACTTGCCCAAGGTCACATACAAGTCAGCCTACTGACACTGAGCCTACTTCCAAACCAATGTCCCTTGCATTCCTCTTACTTCCCATGATCTATTAATGATACTTCAGAGAGTCTTTATCAAAAGGTCAGGACAATATCACCAATGTCTTCTAGTCCAATGGGAAACTGCCCTGCATCTCACCCAGATCATTCACTGAGCCATATAGTTCCTGTTTTCATGCAGATTCCATCTGAGCCTTGGCTAACTCCCAGGGAAGCACATATCAGATCTGCTGTATATTGGCAGAACTTTGGCTTAGAACGTATTTCAAATGTCTCCCATTGAACATTGGCAGCCTTGAAAAAATATGGCCAGGAAATTATTCTGGGAAGCTCGATTGCTCTATGACACTTTACAAGGAGAAACTGATGGCTTTCGCTCCCAAGCTCTTCCCTCTGTGCCCAGAACAGATGACTCCATATTCCTGTATGTGCCCTAAATTAGGAGAGGGCCAGCTCCGCTGCCTCATGAATAGAGGGGGTGTCTGTAACGGGCAGAGCCCTCTGCACAGCGCACTGTGCTTTGAGCCAAGTTCTTTCTCCTTCAGTTTTGAAACGCTTGGGTATTCCAAGAGAAATGTAGTCCATGTGTTTCTGATTCATTACACTTAAATCATTAAAATGTTGTTTTGTGAGTTATTTGATGTCTGAGGAGTCTGTGAAGCTTCTTAATGGGACTTTTAAATGGCTTTGGTTTTTTTTTTTTTTTTTGCTCTGCCTGAAACAGAAAGCAACACTTGGCTAAAACAGTGCCTGAGTTCAAACATATTCTCTCATCTCATATATTTGCACCCACATTCTCGACCACAGCCTCTCACTAATGCCAGGCCTGGCAAGACTGACATTCGAAAGTGTTAAAATAGAGAAACTGGAGAGAAAATGGAGCGGGGAGAATTCCAGCGAGATTCAAAGAAGCGTTCCCCCAAATGTGCCAAAGCAGCAGTATCAGCGCGTGGAGAGGACCTGCGTTTGCTACCTTGGTCAGACTGGGGCTGGCTCTCTGGGGTACACTGTTGGACAGCTAACACAGCACTTCGGAAGGCATAATCTCCTTGAAGACTCCTAGCATCCCTCATTTCCCAGATGTGAAGCAGGACCAGACGTGCCAAGTATTGGACCCAAAGTGCACAGCTGGCTTGGACAGAGGGGAAAGATTACAGCTAAAAGCTCACTCTGAGTCTAATGCTCTTTTCAGAATGCCTCAAGTTGAGTTTCTCCATGAATGTTGTATTTGAAATACCAAAGGCACTAGAATAGGTTAGGGAAAAGCAGTAAGATATAGTGGGTAAGATCTCAGATTCTTCCCTTATCACTTTCTACGTTACTTAACCTCTCTGGGCAGTTTCCTTGTCTGTAAAATGGGGATAATCCTAGTACCCAACTTTACAAGATATAAAGATGATTGAAGGGAATTAACACATTACTGGAAGAGTCCCTGACACCTAGTGCTCAATAAATGTTAACTATTCATGGTAGTAGCAGTAAGGAGTGAAAAAGAGCTGGATAATCTTGGCAAGGTGTAGAAATTCTCTGAGCCTCAGTTTTCTCATTTGTAAAGTGAGTACAACAGTGTGACCCCTACAGGTTTGTGGGAGCGCTTGAGATGATGCTTATGCTTAGCACTGTGCCTACCACAGAAAAGGTTCTCCGTAAAATCTATTTTTCACACCCAGACATTTCTCTCCCTATTCAGTATCGGTTGCCATTTTTGTGGGGGGGGGGGGGGGGGAGAAACTGTCTTATTATTCAGCTCAGCTTAGATCTGGTGCTGTATTTCTCTACAATCTCAAGGTGTAGACGTGTATACAGACCTAGGTCTTTCTCTACCCAAGGGGTGCAGGCTTTCCTGCCGTGATGGACCCTCACTGGGCTGGATTGGTCGCACACTCTGAGTTGGTAAACAGAGCAAGTATTGCTTTTAAGCAAAGAAGAACCACTAGGCAACTGCAGGACTTGGGGCTCCCTCACATTCCTGGCCAACAGCTCCGTTCACAGGAAGATCTGTCGCTGTTTTCAGGCTGACTGAGGCTTTGGGATTTGGACCTTTTTTCTTTCCTAGTATAGATGTTAGAATTGCCTTCTTAGTTGGTTGTTTCTGTTTCACTGGTGTCTTTTTGCCCGTGTCCTGAAGAAGAGCAGAAAACTATAGCCATCTGGCAAGGGAGACTAAAGAGAGATTAGACTTTGTCCCTCTCCACCCTCCACACACACACACACACACACACACACACACACTCAGTACAGTCACACACGTTCACTCACACACTCACTCATACACACTCACATTCACACAAACTCACTCATATACATTCACACACTCATACACATTCACACACACATACTCACACAAACACATTTTCTCTCTCTCTCTTTCTCTCTCTCTCACACACACACACACACACACACACACAGATACAAATACCTTTTTGAGCCTCTCAGTTTTCTCTCAAGAGCTGGAGCCAGCCACACAGGATAAAGGAAGGAACTGGAGATCTTTTCAGGAAGAAGACAGATTCTGTTCTGTCAGGTTCCTATGAGTGTGTGTAAAAGCGAGTCAGAGGAGAGAGAGAGGGAGAGAGAGGAGGGGAGAGAGAGGGAGAGAGAGGAGGGAGAGAGAGAGGGAGAGAGAAGAGGGAGGGAGGGAGAGAGAGAGAGGAAGAGGCAGAGGGAGAGAGGGGGAGAGAGGATCTGTTGCAGGCAGGGGAAGGCGTGACCTGAATGAAGAATGCCAGCCAATTCCAGAGACACACAGGGACCTCAGAACAAAGATAAGGCATCGCTGACACCACACGGGGGACAAGCTCACGGGAAAGTCAGGCCGCGGGGACCGAAGCCAGGCAGCCAGGAGCACCCCAGGCAGGAAAATGAGGTGAGTGCCAGGGCAGGAGTGGACATGGGGGGGCCCTTTCGGGAACCAGGTGTCAAGTAGCCCGGGAAGGTTTGCCCTGGTCTCCAGGAAGACTCACCTGTGTGTCCTGTGGCTATTGCAGGGGGTTCTCATCAATCCCTGGGGCTTTGAGAAGGGCAATGTGGTTTGGGCGCTGCCCTGGGACTGCGGAGACACGCAGCTCGAAGCGGGAGACTTTGTGCAAATCCTGCCCGTCGCTGCCCAGGCTCAGTTTCTCCCTCTGCCAGCATAGGGGGCTGTCCGCTGGCGAATGTGACTTTCCTCCTGTTGCCCACGAGGCTGATTTTTTGTTTTCCTCCTCTGCAAAGAGTATTGGTTTATCTCTTGCGACACTTTGTGAGTTAGATATGTGTTTGTGTGTTTATTTCTTCTGACCGGAAATGAAGCCAGCTTCCCACAGCTCAGCTCTGCGGTTTCTTAAACCTTCAGAAGTTTGCCAGTTAAAACCTCAATTTAGAAAACGAAAAACCTGTCCCCATTTTACAGTTCCCTATAAATTTCTGCATTTCTCACTGAAATCAGAGGCAGCTGGTGGCATGAATCAGGCTATGAATTGTACCAAATGACTCTTAAAGGGATACCACAAATTAAAAAAAAAAAAAAAAGGAGGCTCTGGTGTTCTAAATCCAGGACTTTCAATTCTAATTGTTTTTAAACTCCTCAACATTTCCTATTCCTCAGCCTATACTTAGAGCTACTTGATCCTTCTTACCAGGCATTCCTTCTAAGTTTTCCTCTGCAAGTCTCAAAACGCAACCACTATAATTATTTTTACTATTTATAAGTGTTAATGCTGTTAATAATACCCAAAGAAAGGAAGGTAAAAGAAAAACACCCTGCAGATGTGTTGAGTCCCTCAGCACCTCTTTTCTCACTGATTTTCTTCTCAATTGGAAAAGGGTTTCTATTTGTTTCTCTTCTGCAAAGTCACCTAGCAACTTTTCTGGGTCTGGGGCCAATGGGGGGCTTCAGACTCTGTTAACTCTTTGAGCTCATATTACCTGTGGTTCAGAGAAATAATCAAGTCTCTAAGGTTAATTTGATCTGTTCTTTTAAAATCCATTGTAACATTAAGTCTGCCATCTAACTTCATTTTCCTTTCTCCTGAAAGAGATAGGATTTATGTCCATCTATATGGAGTGACAATTCAACTGATCTGTAGAGAGCAGAATCCTACCCTACCACCCCATGCCCCAGCCATACCAACATACAGACTGATTAACAGCTCTGTATCTTTGTGTTCACTCACCCCTTAGCGCAGAACAGCTCTCCCCCCTTATTTTCCACCTAAAGGCCCCCATTGTTCAAGCCACAGCTCAAACATCATCTCCTCTTGCCTGGCCAACATCCCCAGAATGAGCATCCTCTCCTTTGTGCTATCCCTGTTCTTGGGAGCTACGTCTCTCTTCGTCTTCATAATATTTTGCTATTCAAATGTCTATCTCTTTTTCCAAGACCGAATGCTCCTTAAGTATAGGATCTATGTCTCTCTCTCTTTTTTTTTTTTTTTTAAGATTTTATTTATTTATTTGACACAGAGAGAGAGACAGCGAGAGAGGGAGTGGGAGAGGGAGAAGCAGGCTTCCCGCTGAGCAGGAAGCCCAATGCGGGGCTCGATCCCAGGACCCTGGGATCATGACCTGAGCCAAAGGCAGACGCCTAACGACTCAGCCACCCAGGTGCCCCAAGGATCTATGTCTTGTTCACCTTAGTATGCCTAGCACCTAGCATAATGTCTGTTTCCTATCAGGCATTCAATAAATATTAACTGAATAGAATTCAGCTGACCAGCAACAGATCAGTGGAGATGTGTTCCACTAGAAGTCTCCAAAGGGTCTCCCTCATAGGGACACAGCACTTCAGAGTTTGTAAAGCACTTTTATAGGCCTCTCTCATCAGGTCTTTAGATTTTAGATGAAGTAAGGATTTATGGAGAAGTGAGGATAAAAGCAGTTAAGCAACTTGCCCAAAGCCACACGGATGATCTTGAAAAGGCTCTCGCTCAAACTTGACTCTTTGGACTCCTAGTCCAGGACTTTTTCTACTACATTCCACCAGACTCTCAACCAAGTGTATTATTCTATACCAATAGCTCTCAATTCTAGCGGTACATTAGGATCATCTGGGATGCTTTCAAAAGTGCCAATGACTGGACCTCACTCCAGACCAATTAAACTAGAATTTGTTGGAGAGGGGCTTTGTTATTAGTATCTTTTTTAAAAAATTTCTACATAAAGCCGTGAGTTTTTAAATTATTTTTCACAGGATTAATTGCTTTGGCCAAATGCCTAGACATGATATGGGCATGGACCCAGCAGCTCCCTCTGTTAGCTTTTGTTATTCTCTTCTTCTGTTGAAGCTAATTCGCCATATGGTGTTGGGCATGACATGTCACTACTTGGGGTATCCTTTTCATCATCTGTCAAATAAGGGCCTTGTCCAAGGGATCTACACAGTGGCTTTCAACTCTCACAGTCTTGGTGTAGTGTAGGTTGAAGTGAGGGGAGGCAAGGAAGAGGATACAAAGTACTACTTCTTCCACAGTCATTGACACACAGGGGCATTTGTGCACTCCCCAGAGCCTGCTCCTGCAGGGGGCCTATCCAGTCCCAGCTTTATATATTGGTTGACATGTCAAGCAAATGTAGTGAAACGTTTTGATTAGCTTGAGAATAGGTAGCAGGTGTCAGGAATTCACAGCCGGGGCCTGGTGTATAGGAAGCAAGAAACATCCAGAAAGTGTGATGGGAAACAAAAGCCGCCACTTACATTCTTCGATTGGCAGCTCCTAAAGCAAGCAAGCATATGCTCAGGCCCATTATGGGCAAGGAGATATTTGTTTCATATGTTTGAAACTGTTTGGTGATGTACACAAAATAGAACAGAAAGCTTCTTCCCACACTGGCCCGTTACCTACCACATGTGGGCCTTTGGGGCTGAATGGGGGCTGTCGGCAGCCAGCCGTGGACAGTACCAGCATTAGGGGCTCAGAGTCTCCTCCATGTAGTCTGGAAAAAGCAGGCATGGAGAAAGTTGACCTTTCAGCCTTGCATAATCTGGGTGTCAATGTTGCAGTGAAGTCCAGCTTGGGGACCAAAGTTCTTTCCTAACCTCTGCTTTTCGGGAAGCAGCATGATGGAGTAATTATAGCTAATGTTTGCTTAGGGCTGGGCGGTTAACAAAGCACTTTCCAGTCCTCCTTTACTCTGGTAGCAGCCCTATGGCGAGTCATTATTTTCACCCCTTACTGGACGAGGACACTGAGACCTTACGTGGCTTCCCCAAGTTGGGTCAGATAAATAGAGTCAAAGGCTGGACCTGAAACTAGCTCTTCTGACCCAAGGCTAGGACTCTCCCCTCCCCAGGCAGAACTGAACCAGAACTTCCAGCCCTGGTAACATCCGTACCTTTCCTCGCTCAAAATTAGGGCTGTGTGGGCCCTGAAAGATCAGGTTTCTAGACTCTGCTTTCCTGGAGTTCGCTGGAGAGCTTGGACCTTTGCCTTCCCTTCTCTCTGCCTTGGAGGCCCTCCCTCCAAGATTGGTTTTAAAGAAATATTGACCCTGGCAATTGGATTAAAACATTTTGTTTCCTCAGTTGAAACCTCACATGTTACTATTGTAGGGACATTGGAAAAAAATTTAAAAGACTTTATTATTTTCTTTTTATTAAAAAAACAGTACAAGGTCCTTCTTGACAAATATGAACATCACATATACACAAAAATTAAACTTAAAACATTCATACTCCCACTTGAGAGATAACCACTGTTAATACACTGGTGATATCCTTCTAGGCCTTTTTGCACTTACCTATTTACCTTTCATGTAAATACCATATGAGACAGCTAGATAATTTATCTTTACAGTTATCTTGTTGTGTTACATATTCAAAAATTCATGTGTATGCATATTTATACATGTAAGCATCTGTGTGCTGGGGAAGGAGGGTTAGGGAGAAACAACTTTCTGATTAGCAAAGTGTAACCATTACAGTAGTCCCTGCTTATCCAGGGAGGATAGGTTCCAAGACCCTCAGAGGACCCCTGAAACCACAGATAGCAGGGAGCCCTATAGACACAATGTATTTCCTATACATACATACCTATGATCAAGTTTAATTTATTAATTAGACACAGTAAGAGATTAACAATAGTAACTAATAATAAAATAGAACAACTGTAACAATATACTGCAATAAAATTATGTGAATGGAATCTCTTTCAAAATATCTTTTTTTAAAACGTTTTTAAATTTAAATACAATTAATTAACATATAATGTGTTATTGATTTCAGAGGTACAAGCCTGTGATTCATCAGTCTTATATAATACCCAGTGCTCATTACATCACATGCCCTCCTTAATGTCCATCACCCAGTTAGCACATCCCTCCACCCGCTCCCCTCCAGCAACCCTCAGTTTGTTTCCTATGATTAAGAGTCTCTTATGGTTTCTCTCCCCCTCTGGTTTTGCCTTGTTTTATTTTTTCCTCTCTTCCCCTATGATCCTCTGTTTTGTTTCTTAAATTCCACATATCAGGGAGATCACATGATAATTGTCTTTCTCTGATTGACTTATTTCACTTAGCATAATACCCTCTAGTTCTATCCACATCATTGCAAATGGCAAGATTTCATTTTTGATGGCTGCATAATATCCCATTGTATATATATACCACATCTTCTTTATCCATTCATCTGTCGATGGACATCTGGGCTCTTTCCATAGTTTGACTATTGTGGACACTGCTGCTATAAACATTGGGGTGCAGGTGCCCCTTCAGATCACTACGAATGTATCTTTAGGGTAAATACCCAGTAGTGCAATTGCTGGATCATAGAGTAGCTCTATTTTCAACTTTCTGAGGAAACTCCATACTGTTTTCCAGATTGGCTGCACCAGCTTGCATTCCCACAAACAGTGTAGGAGGGTTCTCCTTTTTCCGCATCCTCGCCAACATCTGTCGTTTCTTGACTTGTTAATTTTAGCCATTCTGACTGGTGTGAGGTGGTATCTCACTGTGGTTTTGATTTGTATTTCCCTGATGCCAACGGATATTGAACACTTTTTCATGTGTCTGTTGGCCATTTGGATGTCTTCTTTGGAGAAATGTCTGTTTGTGTCTTCTGCCCATTTCTTTTTTTTTTTTTTTTAAGATTTTATTTATTTATTTGCTAGAGAGAGAGAGGGTGGGAGAGAGCGAGTGAGCGAGAGTACAAGCAGGAGGAGCTGTAGGCAGAGGGAGAAGCAGGCTCCCTGCTGAGCAAGGAGCCCAGTGTGGGACTCCATCCCAGGACCCTGGGATCATGACCTGAGCCAAAGGCAGCTGGTTAACCAACTGAGCCACCCAGACAGCCCTTCTGCCCATTTCTTGATTGGATTATTTGTTCTTTGGGTTTTGAGCTTGATAAGTTCTTTATAGATTTTGGATACTATCCCTGTATCTGATACGTCATTTGCAACTATCTTCTCCCATTCTCTCGGTTGTCTTTTGATTTTATCAACTGTTTCCTTTCCTGTGCAAAAGCTTTTTATCTTGATGAAGTCTCAATAGTTCATTTTTGCCTTTGTTTCCCTTGCTTTTGGAGATGCATCTAGCAGGAAGTTGCCGTGGCCGAGGTCAGAGAGGTTTCTGCCTATGTTCTCCTCTAGGATTGTGATGGATTCCTGTCTCACATTTAGGTCTTTCATCCATTTTGATTCTATTTTTGTGTGTGGTATAAGGAAATGGCCCAGTTTCATTCTTCTGTATGTGGCTGTCCAATTTTTCCAACACTATTTGTTGAAGAGACTGTCTTTTTTCCATTGGACATTCTTTCCTGCTTTGTCGAAGATTAGTTGACCATAGAGTTGAGGGTCCATTTCTGGGCTCTCTATTCTGTTCCACTGATCTATGTGTCTGTTTTTGTGCCAATACCATGCTGTCTTGATGATCACAGCTTTGTAATAGAGCTTGAGGTCCGAAATTGTGATGCCACCAGCTTTGCTTTTCTTTTTCAACATTCCTCTGGCTATTCGGGGTCTTTTCTGGTTCCATACAAATTTTAGGATTATTTGTTCCAGTTCTGTGAAAAAAATGGATGGTATTTTGATAGGGATTGCATTGAATGTGTAGATCGCTCTAGGTAGCATGGACATTTTAACAATATTTTTTCTTCCAATCCATGAGCATGGAATGTTTTTCCCGTTTCTTTGTGTCTTCCTCAATTTCTTTCATGAGTGTTCTATAGTTTATTGAGTACAGATCCTTTGCCTCTTTGGTTAGGTTTATTCCTAGGTATATTATGGTTTTAGGGTGCAATTGTAAATGAGATTGACTCCTTAATTTCTCTTTCTTCTGTCTCATTGTTAGTGTATAGGAATGCAACTGATTTCTGTGTGTTGATTTTATCTTTCAAAATATCTTAATTGTATTGCACTCACCCTTCTCCTGATGATACTGAGATGATAAAATGCCTATGTGATGAGATGAAGTGAGGGGAGTGACATAAGCACTATGACATAGCATGAGGCTATTACTGACCTTTGGACAATATGTCAGAAGGAGGATCATCTTGCTTCTGGACCAAGGCTGACCATGGATAACTGAAACCACAGAGAGGAAACTATGGATAAAGGGGAGCTACTGTAATCTGAGGATGCTGGTCTAATTTCCCAGCATGGACTTAGGCTATATAAAGCTCTGGCACCACTTTCATTCATTCATTCATTCATTCATTCATCTATTCATTTTATTCATTCACCATCTATTAATACCAGGCTGTATACTAGGTCCTTTATATACATCATCTCTAATGCTCATGTGAGTCCTATAATTAGAAATTATAATCCCCATTTGACATACGAGGAAACTGGGCCTCAGAGAGGCTATTATCCAAGATTTCTCAATCAGTAAGTAGAAGAATGGGGATTTGAACCCAAATACATCTAACTTCGGGGGCTGTGCTTAAAGCAGTGTTGTGTGAGAGATGCAGAATGCAAGCACGTACAGGGAGCTGTGGAATCTGGAGGTGTACAGGATACTCCATAGACCAGGAAGCTTTGAGCTGGATGGTGAAGGATAAATAAGGCAAGCAGATGAAGAATAGGTAGGCTATGTGCAAGGGGACCAAGGCATGCACAGGCATGGCATACTTTCAGAATGACATACCAGGGCATAGCTGGCACTGAGATGAGGCTGGACAGGCAGATCAGCACTAGATCAAAAAAGGCTCATCTGCCATCCTGGGAGCAGATGCTTTATCCTGCAGGCACAGTGAAACAGCTTGGTCACATGTGTGTTTTAGAAAATCAACTTCGGCAGAAAAGTGCTGAGTGGTATAAAGTGGGGGACAGGGAGATTACTTAGGATGCAATAGCAATAGGCCAGATAAGAATGTTTAAATTAATAGACTGGAGAGAAGTAGATGGATTTCCAAAACATAGGAAGTGGAATAAATAGGACTTGGGGAAGAAGTTGATGAGCCAGGTTTGGAGTGTTTGAGTTCAAGGTCACTGGGTCTTGCAGGGGGAGCAATCTATTAGATGCCCAATGTGGTGCATATTGTTCATTAGGGTTCTGACTAGCCTTGGACATTCTGACTCATTATTGCGCCACTTTGGGTGTGTTCCATTAAGTTTTATTGAGTTTTCCTTGCCCCTTCCTTATGCAATTCTTTCAATAGTCCATTATCTCTGATGCCTACAGCTGGAAATAAATTGTAGTTTTCTAATCCTTTTATAAGAATACTTACCAAGAGGGGGAAAAAACTTGTTTTGCTTATTCTTTCTTAATTAAAAACTTTGCATATCTTGACTGATTTTGTTAAATCTGTTTAAGGTAATGCAAGATCCCATCATTGAGTATAAGTCTCATCCCAGTATTACCATGTCACTATTACTTACTTTTTACAAAACTGAACCAAGAGTTTGATTCTTAAATGAAGCCGAGTTGAATAAAGGACATCAACTTTTTTTTTTTAAGATTTTATTTATTTATTTGAGAGAGAGGGTACAGGCAGGGGGAGCAGCAGGAAGAGAGAAGCAGGCTCCCGCTGAGCAGAGAGCCTGACGTGGGGCTCGATCCCAGGACCCTGAGATCATGACCCGAGCTGAAAAAAGACGCTTAACTGACTGAACCACCCAGGTGTCCTTGAAAGGACATCAACTTTTACCTAATTATGAAATTTACATTCTCAACAGTAAAATAATAAGTGTCAGAGTCCCAAATAGGGGACTGTCTAGGAGACTTGAATATTTACTAAATCTTCAGAAGAGCACAGTTGGAAGAAACCATAGAAATCATGGAGTCACCATCTCCCTGTAGAATAGACTGGATAAGCAAGGCCCCAGGTGGGGAAGAGTAAGCACAGCAGGTCAGTGGCAGAGATATGTCAAGAGCTTGGTCTCCTAGCTGCTTAGTTAAAGGATGAGGACCTGTGTCCATGAATGTAAGTAGATCCATTCATGTCTTTCAGGTGGCTCCTTCTCTGTCATGCTCTGTGCCTCTCCTTGTTGAAAGCTTCGGCCCATACCGTGGAGCTTAACAATATGTTTGGCCAGATTCAGTCACCTGGCTATCCAGACTCCTATCCAAGTGATTCAGAGGTGACTTGGAATATCACTGTCCCAGAGGGATTTCGGATCAAGCTTTACTTCATGCACTTCAACTTGGAATCCTCCTACCTTTGTGAATATGACTATGTGAAGGTGAGACCCTTGGTTTTCCCTAACTGAGCCAGGTTCTCTACTGGAGAATCTGCTAGGAGTTAGAGAAGCCTAGATGAATTAGATACTGTGCTTACCCTCCCAAGGTAGCAGTCCAGTGAGGAAGACACACAAATTTACAACATGATGAATGAAGGTTGGGGGTGGTATGCTAGGTGCAGGCTCAGTGATAAACCTAGAAAGGACCACAAGAGAAACTGAGGCTGGCAATGTATAACTCAGCCAAACATAACCTCCCTTTTTTCTTTCTGTTCTCAAAGTCCTTAAAGTTTCCACTAACATCTGTTCCAAGATCACTTTTACAAGCAGAAAGAAAAGGGCAGAGACCCCAGAGTAAGCATAACTAGCCTGGAGCACAGCCATAATTATGTGCAAAGCTGAGGCATTAGAAAGCATTGCCCACTTCCCTAAGTAATGATCAAGCACTGGGGAAGGGTTGGGTATGCAGTAGTAGACAGTAGCAGGTGAAATCAGAAGGTTGGATTAGGGTGAGATTCTGAAGGGTCTTGAATGTGATGCTAAGGAGTTTGGATTTTCTCTGCAAAGGGTGTGGACAAGGTGGGGGGTCACCATCAGAGGTGGATGTAAAAATCATGTAGAAGAGGAGCAGGAAATGATTACAACATCGAAGCAATATTCCCTGGAATTTAGAGAGAACCCACAAACAATGCCATGGATGGGAAGCTGTTCTTTGAAAGTGGGGCTGAGAAAGTTTGGAGTGCTTCTGAGAGATCAAGTTACTAAGGCTGAATCTGGCTCAAAAAGATGTGGAGGCCTAAGAACCTACTTTCTAAGCTCTCTCTGGCTTTCTGGAAAAGTTCTCATCAAATCACTCTAGAGTAGGTTTTGTATATTTTTAGTATTAATGTGGTCTCTGTTCTCTGCAGTCGGTAATTCAATAAGAGTTAACCTTGTATTAACCAGAATGTTTGATCAACAGCAAAGTAGTGAGTTTACAATGTAGTTTTATACTTATAATCTCATTCCATCTTTAAAACAATCCTATAAGGCAGGTACTACTATTGTCCTGCTTCATAGGCAAAGGAACAAACCCAAGAAGGTGAAGCTACAGCTAGTAAGCAGTGGGTCAATTTCCAAACCCATGTCTTCTGACTTTCAATCCCATGCTCTTTTGGCTACACCAAACTGCTCTCAAGTTGCTCTCCACTGAGCCCCAGGATACTGCAGGGGCTTATAAGACTACTGCTGGGGGGAGAAAGGGGGCGGATAAGTGGGACTATGAACCCCCACCCTGCTTAAACTCATTTTAAATGTTGGGTATTGCTTATTTTATATGTTGGGTCTGCATCAAATATCTCATTTACAACAAGGTTCCTGTGACTAAAAACTTTCCCAAATTGATGCTCTTTGACAGAGTTTCTTAGCTTCAACACTATTGATATTTTGAGCCAGATAATTCTTTGCTGAGGAAAGCTGTTTTGAGAATTATAGGATTTTTAGCAGCATCCCTGGCTTCTACTCACTAGATACCAAGATCACTCTCCCACCAGTTGTGACAACCAAAAATGTCTCTAGAGGTTGCCCATATCCCCAGAGGGACAAAATCTCCTAATCTGAGAACCACTGTTCAGTGGGATGCTGCCCTTCTGTGAATGTCTTGGGCTGAGGACTGCGAGAATTTAAAGATACAAAAGATTTGGTCCCTTACAAAGAGAGATGAGCCTAGCAAAGTAGCCATTGCATAAGATGGAAAAGAGTAAGGACACAAAAAGACTGATGGATACAGAATGAGGAAGGTGGGGTGGGCTGGTTGCTCTGGGAGATGATGTGGGCTGGCCATCTAGACTGACATATAGTGTCCATGAATTCACTAAAAATGGAGCCAACTTTTCAAAGTCACAAGGATCCAGCAAGGAGACTTGTGTTCAAGACTACATATTCATCATCATAAAGTGAAATTTCTGACAAACATGTTAGTTATGTCTTCCAGGATATAATCTAGCCTCTGCCAGAGCCAGACTCCAGGAGAAGATGCATTATGGGTAGGAACCATTAGGTTAGCTGACTCCTCCAGCCCATCCCCCCAACTAATGCTGGTCATAAAACTGTGGCATTCTCAAATATTTGGATTAGAAAGTGGACTTAACCAGAAGGAAAATGACCAAACATTGGCTTAATGCGACAGTAAGTTCCAAGATTTAAATAAGGCTAGATGTGAACTTCCTAACTGCTTTCTTCTCTATTTTCAAACATGTCACCCATCTAGAATTTTTTTTCAGTGAAAACACTTGCTTTTACTGGTAGCTGAGGCTTTTAAGACTATGGACATTACAGCATTTTTTTTTCTTGAATTGTAACAATAACTTACTGTCATTATCCACCCCCTTCCTCCACCTGAGGAATTGACTCTCAATTCATATACACAAAGCAATCATTTCTCACAAGTTTTCCTCTTCTTCAGACAGCTGCCAAGCTTGACCTTGTTAGGATTCCCTTCTAGAGATCATAAACACACAACAGAGGATTTAACTCATTCCTTTGTCCCTAATAAACTGAACCTCCTGGCAAGGCAGATTAAGGAGCTGACATCAGCTGCATTTTGTAATGGCAAAAAAAAAGAAAGGTACTTTTCAAGGGCAATGATGATAGAATATGAAGACCTCTTCTGACACTGAATTAAGGACCCTGGTGACCATTTATCCAAATTTGGCTTTTGTGGCTGGAGAATATTTTGGAAACTGATTGATGGTTTCTATCAGGAGCAGTGAGATACCTTCATGAAAGCCCAGGCAGATGGAGGTAGGTCCCCTGGAAGGATAGCATGGTCCTGGATTTTTGCCTGGGATTCAGGAAATGCCTGGGCTAGTCCCTGATCTGCCACTAACTCCTGAATGAAGAAAATCTTAGAGCACTCTCTCACTCCAAATAAGATTATGACCCCTGGGCACAGCAAAGAAGCTGTCTGGTACCTGAAGGGCCCTACAGTCCTTGCATCTCTACTTCAGACACCTTCTCCCAATGCCTTTGGAAGAAGGGCTTCACGTATTGGGCAAGAAGGGCAAGATGTATCTCTACGCTTGTGCTGACTCCCTTCCAGAATGCCATCCCAGCATGGCCATCAGCCTCCCTGCAGAGGTTCCGGCGGCCATGGGGCCTGAGCAGGCCTCCCTAGTCGGGACGCTGCCCCTTGGTTGGCTGACAACAGGTGCTCATGTAGAGACGGACCCTGTGCTCCCATCCACAAGCCCCTGGCCGAGTTCCTCTCCTGCACTCATGGACTCACAGAATGTCAAGTTGTAGCGACCCTCCGGAGACTCATCTAATCCCACATAGCTGTGGTTAGTATTGTTTTTCAAACATTTCCTCCTAGTTTTCTTCGAACAGTTTTCTGGTAGGCCTGATTTGGAAAACAGAAGAGTGGCTAGCAGGTCAAATGTGGCTCAGAAGCTCATTCAGTTCACTCATCCTCCTCAGTCACCCTGAAGGTCCTGCCTTAGAGGATTTATAGCTTGAGTATTGCTTTAGTGCCCACCAGACAGAGAGGAGCCTGGAGCTCAGAATTCAGGCACAAGACGAGTACTCTGGCCTCTGAACTCCCAAACCCAGAAGCCTTCCACATATAGTTGAAACCCATTCACTTTTTCTAATTGCCCCCCTCCTCTGCCCCCAGAATGTGTGCCTTTCCTGGCTGTGATTGAGAGCAGGAATAAAGCAGGCGCATGCCATGTCATTCCCGGAGAAGTCATCATCCCTCTCCAAAATCCCGTTTTCTCATCTGTTCCATGAGGGGGTGACATGAGATGATCCCTTAAGTCCCTTAAATTCCTGGACTCTAATCCTACTCCTTCTGCCAGAACTGTCCAGATGACCCCACCAAACCCCCATTATCCTAGTTAGGATAATGCCAGACACTGGTAATAATATGTTACAACATCCACTTCTCCAAGTTCCGTGGCCCATAAGCAATCCAATAAGAGCCTACCATCTGCTGGGGTTGCCTTAGTGACATGTCATTCAAAGCAAACCTGTAAACACACCACACCACCACTGTCCTTTCCCAAGCAACTTTAAATATCACTGATTTCCATTTGACGCGATAGTAGCCCCTATTTGGAGGCTTTTTCACTCTGTGACTGAGTTCCCCTGGCAGGCCAAGGAGTAGATTTAAAGCACCCTCCAGCTCACAAGGACCCTTTCTGGCCCTTCCCAGCCCAGCCCATAGGGGTGACAATAATGGAACAGCTGACTCTGTATTTCAGTAGCTTGAAGAAGAGTAGGACCCCAAGGCTGCGGTCCAGATGCTCTCGTTTTATGAAAATTCCTCTCTGGCCTGATTCCCCGCAGTCCTCGGTCTTCAAGGCGAGTGCACATCTGCAGGAGCATCTGCTTCCTTGGAACATGGCTGCAATGTGTGGGTCCCTGCCGTGCACGGATGGGGCTTACGGGTCACAGGCGGTTAATGCTGCAGGCGAGGGGCAGAGCACGGACGCTGGCTGGGGAGTCAGGAGGGCTGGTTTCTTGGGGTCATTCTCCACTAATGAGCCTTGGGCGAGTGAATATTTCTGGAGGGGACTCCACTTCCTCTTCTCTCAAATACAGGAAGTTGAAGCCAACGGTCTCCGAAGACACCCTAGCCCTGATATTCTGTGCATCTAAGACCTCAGAAATCACGGTTCAACTCTATGACCATCATGTCCAAAGCCTAGGGAAGGACAATTCAGTGGTCAGGGCCACACTGGGACCAGAATTTATATCTCAAGACTCTCAGTCTTTTCTTCTTTAAAAAAAATAAATTAATTAAATGACAGTGAAGTCCCATCTTGTGGGTGCTTAGGTTTTTAAGGTAATGTAAATGTAAGTAAGTGTGATATAAGGCAAACATTGCCTATAGTCAAACTTAGCCACTCTCTTCAGTATAATAGAGCACTGTCTTTGAGTATGTCCAGAAGGGCCTTTTTCCCTAGGAATATAACAAATTAGTTCCTTTGGTTGGGCATCAGAGGAAGTGGTGACTCGTGCCT